TTGAAAAATACATGTAACAATATATATATATATATATATATATATATATATATATATATATATTGTTACATGTATTTTTCAAACTATATTAAACTTATCATTTACTCTCAAATACACAATAATGTTAAGTTACAAATATAAGAGCAATAATCTCGTCAATATTTTCAGTATTAAAAATACTGGATAATAAGTAATTATCAATGATTCTTAGTATATTATAGATATTTCTATAAGGGATTTCACCAATATACATTATATTAATATCCATCGCATATTAACTGTTTTTGTTTTCAATATCTGTTAGTAAATATAACATTACAATGTTTTGTAGGCACATAAAGATACATTATGTAAGCACAAGTTATGAAGGTATCGTCAGAACCATTTAAATTATTACTAGTTGTCTGATCACCAAGGTTGAGCAACAGCAACGAAGACTAGGACCAAGACTAGGAAATAAGATGACCGGTGCAGTTTGAAACCACGCAGAAACACGTATAAGCGAAGCGGCGCAAAATATAATGTACCAATTTTTTTAAATTATTTTAACAAAATGATCAAACATTAATTTATATGGGAGTATACGTGACTGTATTTGTATATGCCCGTGTGTTAATAATAATTGATATATTCAGAATGCTAATATTCTGAAAATATTTCACGTATATTCTCAGAATATCATGGATGATATTCTAAGGATATTCTGAGAACAATATTGCTGTGGACATAGGAACATCGTGAGTATATTCTGAGTATATCATAGTATGTATAGAGTATATCAGATGTGATACTTTCAGAATATTCTCAGAATATTCTCAGGATATCATGTGTTATCTAGGTACCTGATTGCATCAACCGATAATTGGTAAGATAACTCTCATACAGCACTAATGTATTAAATACATCCTACAGATATCCCAAGGATGCTGAATATCTATAAGATCTCTCTAGATATATTTGGGATATTTGTGCTGTATGGGCTAATAGGTTTTGTCTCATTTCTCCACTGAGTTATAGCACTTCTAAGCTAGCTAACGATTAAATCATTTGTATTTTTGTTTTTCTTTCAAAATAAACAAAGCAGATACATATCTAACTTCAAGGAAAAAGAAAGACAGATATATGACTTAACCATTAGCGTGCCATAAGAGTTTAGCAAAATGGTCGAGTTTTTTAATTCATCGATGGATCCATCGATGAATTAAAAACTCGCCCAATGTTTGATCTGAAGGTCTATTCAGACAAATAATTATATAGTGCATAAGAAAATCAACAAAATACATGCAGTAAAAAGACTTTTTTTACATCAAACAATGGATATCAATTTCGTTGTGTATATAGACATTGTGTATAGAACAATAGATCCTAGGTAATGACAAGAAAATGACCGAATCATGTTTGGGAAGTGAGCTTTTGCAGGCAATTTTTTCTCATTTTGACGTTATTGTGATTTTCTTTTTTAACCTTGGATTTAGAGCTGATTGTTCCAACCTCTTGGTAAATTAACTAATAATTAAATCATATGTCTGTCTTTTTTCTCTTTTAATTTAGACAAAGACAGACATATGATTGAATTACCAGTTAACTTACTAGGAAGTTTGAACAACTGGTTCTTAGACATACACGCGTATCAATACGAAATTCTATTTGCCGCCATTTGTTTGAAAAGCAGGCTATCTAACTCAAGCGGTCTAACTGCAAGACGAATGGAGTCTTTCACCACGGGCCAATGGCGGTCAGCCGACTCTGCGTACATAGGCGCATGCGCATCGTCTTACGTTGCGCACTTCAGATGGCGCGCGTAGAAACGGGCTTGTTTTGTGCTAGTCGTCGGTCGCATCGGCAGACGGTCGGGATCCGGTAGTAGTGCTTGTGCCGCGCGGTTTTGGTCGTCGCACGACTTTCGTCCTCTAGCTATCGGGAGTTTCGGCGAGCTTAGTGCTGGCTTCCATTGTGCGCGCGCTTCCGAGCACGAAAGGAGAGAGATAGAGCCAGCGAAAAACGCGGGACGCGCGACGTTATCGTGCCCGATCAGGCAGCACGTCGTAGTGTACGTCGAGTGTGCGCGTTTTCCGAAGGGGGAAAAAAGGTAAGCGAGTGCACGACTTGTCCGAGGTGGTACGCTGAGCTGGTGGAGGGGCTGTCGGATCTGCAGTCTTGTCTGGTTGTGCGTGTAGCGGCAGCGCTACTCGCCGAATTAAAATGGCGGGCCTGGTTGGCCTTACGCGCGGAGGTAACGGCCACCGACGATGCTAGTCGCCGACGCAAGGGACACGTGAGGGTGGCCCCGTTGTTGGCTACCGTTGTGCGTGCCGCTTCTGGACATTTTCCCGCGTTCGGGTGCTCGCTCGTGTTGCAAACTCGCATCGCACCGAGCACCGCTGTGAAAGCAGCGCGAGAACGCGGAGGGACGAGAGAAAGAGAACGAGCGAGCTCCTTTAGCACGTAAATAATAGCGGTGTAAGTTTGTGGTGCTAGGTTGAGAGTGAGAGAGAAGGAGAGAGAGAGAGAGAAAGAAAGAGAAAAACGACCAGCCACCGTGTGAACTGAAGCCGCGAGAAAAAGGGAGGGAAATAGGAAGAGGGAGTGAGAAAGAGAAGGAGAGAGGAAGGGATAAATAGAGAAGGACAAAGATAGGGCAATAGAGAAAGAGCGAAAAGGGACAGATACGAACGGACGCACGCAGGACGCGGCAGAAGCGGCAAAGCCAAGACTGAGAGAAAACGCATGGACGAGGCTTACTCGGCAGTGGACAAATAATCACGATGAAGTGACTAAGCTAGACGAAGTGTTAAGCACTCCACGACGACAACGAGGACGACGACGACGACGAGGAGTGCGGGTTTGAACGAAAGTGCCGTCCTCGGCAGCCGATTATACCAAGTTCCGGAGGACGAGTAGCCTCGATGCCGATGCCGACCGAATACCACGAGAGCCACGGTAACCACGAGAACGCCAATTTCGCTCTCGGGTCCACGCAGGACGCCAGCAACATGACGGCCAACATGTACCGGGTGGGAGGTAAAGTAAAACCGCATGCATTCCACCAATGACGGCGACGTCGATGTCGACGCCGCCGTCGATTCCTGTCTCCGAGAAAGAGAACGCGATTTTAATTAACTTCGAGAAATTAATGTTTGCAAATGGCATCGCAATGGCGTCCCCTACATAATACCCTCCGCGCGCCGCGTTCTGCCCCCTCCCCCCTGCCGTCACCCTCCCCCGCGCGAGCCCTCTCTTCTTTCCACTCTTCATCTGGATTTCCCTTGTACCCTCCATCCCTTCCGATGCCGGCCCTTTTCCCCCGCCCCCACCTCGTTCTCCTGCTCCTCCACCTCCCCCTTCCCATCCTCGTCCTTCTCCTCCTCCTCCTCCACCACCTCCTCCACCTCCTCCTGCTCTTCATCCTCGCTCCCCCGGTGCCGTCCTATACGTACACTCCGGCTTTTCCTCTCCCCCTTTCCCTCTCGACTCTTCCATTCTTCCCCCCTTCCCCTCTCCTGCTTCCCCCACATCCGCGTACAATCGTGCTCTCTGTCTCTCTTTCGTCCAGGTCACGCTAATTTCTTGCGCGACAAATCTCTCGCGATCAAAATTGGATCCTGGACGATATGTGCTTACGCGACACACCGCTCGTCGTCGTGGTCGTCTCCTGTCCCGTCGTATCGACGACGACCTCGCGCGCTACAGTTTCCTTCCAACGAGGAAGGACCAAATCGCCCTTGCACCTTCTTCCCTCGTACCTGTTCTCAGCCTTTTTCGTTGTCCTTTCTCATTTTATTCGATTTCATATCGGCGGCGAGCGTGTGCACGTGGCGGTTGGAAAATTTTCAACCGCATGATGAAATCCGCATCACGATGGACGCTGAAAAATTACCTCTCCCATTGAAAGTTCCTTAATCATTTTATTTGCCGAGAAAAGTTGTTGCTTTTGATAAAATAATGTTCTATTTGATGGACATCTTGTAAAAAAAAAATAAAACACGTAGTTGTCAAAACAACGATGTGCGATTAGAGTCTCATAAAATTCCGAAGACGACAACAATCTCGATTCCTACACACACACACACACACACACACACACACACATATATATATATATATATGTACATAGGATTTTGTGTATATATAGAAATATAAATAAACACACACACACACATATATATATATATATATATATATATATATATATATATATATATATATATATATATATATATATATATATATATATATATATATATATATATATATATATATATATATATATATATATATATATATATATATGTACATAGGATTTTGTGTATATATAGAAATATAAATAAACACACACACACACACATATATATATATATATCACATTTATGTACTAACAAGAGTACTAATATGATTAATGATTCATAGATTACGTGTATTTCGAAACCTCCAGTGCGTCGCCGTACCAGATCAGGAGGATAGAAGAATTAAATAAGGTGAGAATAGAATTTAACATAATAACAATTTCGGTGCTGCCAGTGAGACGTGCTGATTACTATAACAATTGTTATTTCTCCGCGTTAGTCCGCACTCACCTTTCGATGCGTTAACCTTTTAATATGTGATGAATATTTATAAGCACCACACACGGTAAACACACAGCGGCGTTATGTACGGTATTTACCTCCGGTGTTTCCTGTTTTTCAGACCCCGAACGGTAATGTGGAAGCCAAAGTCATGTGCTTCTTCAGGCGGAGGGATTTACCTTCTACCTTGATTATGCTCGCCGACAAACATCAATGTAAGTAGCAGCATACATTCCAGCGCAATGAGACTCCGTGTTATCATAAATGTTTGTAAATGTATGTATACAAGGCAGTGCCAGAGTGTCCGCGCGTTGGAACGCGATTCGTGACGCTTAAGGTAAAAGTGCCGAAATGTCCGAACATGTACCTGATTTAGGACGTACTTATCGCCTTGGTACTTTTTTTTTAATACGAATATTTAAACTTTTAACATAAAAAGAAATATATATACATATATATATATATATATATATATATATATATATATATATATACACATATTGAATACATGTACTATGTCAAAGGATTAAATATTCCTATTAAAAGACCAAAACAACGAGAAAGCTCAGGGTTTAGATATCGATACTTTTATCTTAGCCGGCGTTTTCATTCGCGCTCGCGGGAGAAGAAGCAATATTTTGCTTTGGAAGGGCACCAAATACCAGGGATGTCGCTTGTACATTATGACGAGTGCTTTCGGGACTTCAGCTCCAGATAATTCTAAGTAATGTCTCGGCGATACATCAATTGTTGCCCGCTGACATTGTCAGTATAATCTTCTCTCTTGAGAATTCGTTTCGTGAATGATTTCTCCCGTTTGCGAAGTTCACGGTAGAGCTCTTCTCACGACGCGAAAATGCGATTCCCGCTTGTACAACGAGCAAGAGATTTCCAGTAATATGCGAGCCGCTGAATTTCACCGCGAGACACGACGAGGTGGACGTTAGTTTTAACGTTCGTTGGCGTACGTGTTGAGAGGGAGAGAAGGAGAGAGGGAGGGAGGGCGGGTGGGCGA